TATTCTAGATGATAGAGAGCCAGCTGTTGGTAGCTTGACTCTAATCCTTTGAGTCTCTGTGTACGGAGACCGTACAGAAGAGAGGTACAACGCTGACCAAATAATATCTCGTCTTCAGGTCGTTCCATGGTTAACCAACCGTTCATCGTTAGTCAGGAAAGTAGGCCTGGAAAATGTCTTCTCTGTAGGTATGTCATTGGAACGATCACTAAGAAGGAGGCCATTATGGCTGCCCGTACTCTTAAGGGCTGTCTTTCCTGGCTTGCATTTAAAGTAGAAAATTCTCTGACAGCAACAGGTTAAATCGTTGAACGGCCACAAAACGACCAAAGTGTTGGAGTAGGTTGTGCTTTGTCTATACACGTCTTTAGATATTCCACCAGAGACGTTGACGTTTCAAACGCCCATTTTTCCGTGTCAGCCGGTTATTTTAGCGATCCAGGGTTAAACCCGATTTATTTCGCTTGCCCATGAAAGAAGAGTGTCATCAGTAGCTGGAAAGCCCAGCTGCACGACGGACTACTCTGTTCTTGGTGTAGTGCCAATGATCGACTACGATAATCGTTGACTCGATTGGGCATCTTATAACCACTCTTTACTATCTTTGATTGCGGGTGGCTTCAATTTTACCTTGACGCCACCTAGCAGATCCTACTGAACTAAGGCGCAAAGCTAGCTGATTTTACCAAAACCATAAGCTTATTTATCGCTACTGTTATTAACTTTTTCAAGAACAAAACTATGCAAAAACCATCTCGGAATCACCAAGAATCAGTGTGCAAAATTTCAACAAAATCGGTTTAGTAGTTCTCGCGGTTAGCGATCACAACGGTTTTAGCGACTTTGCTTTATTTATAAGTAAGATTACACAAAAATAAATGACTAAAAGGAATGATTGGAAGACTGTGCCAACTAAAAAAAAAAAAAAAAAATTAAGCCTAATATACTTAGTATGATAACTACAAGTACGAATGCAAGAGACACGAATAACCAACGATGGACGGCTTTGAAAGTGATTTACTTACGAACAATTTTATCAGGACAGTATTTCTAAATTCGTAATCATAGTGATAACAATGTAAAAAAAAAAAAAATTAGACTAGAATTGAAAATTAAGTCCACCATTACGCAATTATCAGAACGCTGCTACCAGGGTATCTCTGGCTCAACTGCTGTTGGGTCACAATACCTCTCAACCAAGGGAATGGAGACCCCATTGCCGGCAACTCAACTCTTACCAAAGGAATACATTCAGGTTCTGGATCATCAAGCACGATGCCAGGAACAACACCGCTCGACTGGTCAACCCAGCCCTACCTACCTACCAACCTCCAAGCGCCGAGCTACCACGAAAACTCTACATTTCCAAACTCGCCCACACGGAGGCCATCGATCGCCGCTGACGTCCGAATGCACACTTCGATGCCGGCATCGACAACTCCACAGCACACCGCAGGCCCAGAGCCCTGTACAAGATCTGTTCAGAAGATCGTGACAACCAATGCTAGCGAAATAAGCAGAGCGTATAAGTCCACTAGACCGTTCCAAAACAATTTAAAAGAATTAGGTGACGTCTCAGTACAACCACCCGGAGGTCCTGATGGGCCAAACGAACGTTACAATATGCGACCACAGAATAATAAGTGAAGTGAAATGAAGCATGTGTACCAAGTAAAAAGACACTAAATAAAGCAGTATGAGTGTGAGTGTATATGAAACCGCGGACCTTTGTCAATCGAGAATGGATGACTGAATGACCGCGAAAACTTATATCAAGAGTGATAACTTCTCCGACTCCTGTAACTCTACCACTGCTTTCTCAAATTTATTTTAAACTCTTTAAAACTGGGGGGTTTGTTACCATCCGGGGCATTATTTTATTAATTATCGTATNGTAACTAAACAGTATTAAATAAAGCAGCGATATTCTGCTTGCAAGTTTTTTCCTTACCATTTGCTAAAATTATTCATCGTTGTTTTCTATCCAAAAGCTTTAAATATACATGTACATGCTATAACCTTTACCGTAGTACTGCGAGTACAGTGGATATATGTTTCTATACATTTATACACACACCCTGTCTAGGCCCTGGTCATTGCCTGCTGTCAACCTTATTACACCGTGTAATAAATTCTACATTTAAACCTGCCCAGGCTCTGCCATCGATGTAAGGCCACGGTTACATGGCTGCAGAAGTAACCAACGGAACATCACTGCGTCAGAAAAAAAGGTTTCCCCACCATCGGTTTATCAAGTGACGCTTCTCTTTGCGTGAGACAGAAAGTGCATCGTGCACATAGACGTGGAACAGTACGTTGCGTCAGAGTAGCAGCCAATGGTCATGAAGAGTTTTAGCGGAAAAATTTTAATATTGTGTATCTAATAAAAATTAGTATCGGATGACTGTCATTTTTTAACCTTTATTTCTGACGCATTGACGATCCGTTGGATACTTCCGCAGCCATGTAACCGATGCCTAAGGCTTGCCTGGCCAGGCCCTGCTTTTATGCCCTCGGGGATATGTACAGGCAAGGCCTTGATTATAGCCTGATAGGGCATAGACAAAAAAGAAATAAAGACTGCTCGTTTTTATGTACGGCGCTGAAGCATTTGTAGAAGGATCGTAGGTATCTGTCTTTCTTGTACATTGCCCAAGGTAGGAATGTGCGAGAGAGATAGATAGATACCCACGTTCAATGTTGTGTCTCCTTTTACTTGTGCTTTAGCGCCGTACACAAGAACGAGCAGTCTCTATTTTTTATACGTTTATGACAAAAATGAGACCTCGGAACGCCACACTTTGTATTTTTGCATCATGCTTTTTATATCTATGGCTTGAGGTAAACATCATCATAATGTTTACTTCATGACAAACTCTATATTTGATCCAGCCCAGGTCCTGGCGATCAAACAGTAAGGCTTGCCTGGGCAAATTAGAGGACATTTTCATAGTTTTTCATGAAATATCACCTTAAATAAGCGCGCCGCATCCGCGAAAAACTTTTGCTTTCAGAACATTCCATGATGCTAAAGTGACCGCGCGGCACGCGCGCGTCATATACGCGGTACGCGTTAGTGCTCGGGCACATGGAACCGCGTAAAGCGAAAAGCGTATTGCGTCAAAGTAAGGAAGGTTAGGTATACGCCACTTTGTGGTCACATAGAAAAGGCGTAAAAGCCTCGCGTATCGCGTAAGTGTGAAGTAAAGGGGAAATGACCAATCTGCTATCTTGTCAACAAAAAAAGCTTTCAAAGTTCTCAACGCAAGTGATTTTTAACCTGCGTACATGTCAAAAAAAAAAAATATCAAGTATACACTACTTTTTATTTGAGAGCCGTTAATACATTTCATACAGCTTAATAATTACACTTCTCACTTATTCTTTGCGATATTGGGTCATTGCAAAGGTCGTATAGACTTTCCACAATTTGCCCAAAGTTCTTACCATGTCTTCTATCCATGTCAGAAATTCGATTAATTGTACAGTTGATACTGTAATTGTTGTTGTTGACATTAGCTGCTGACTGTATTTACAGGTTGCGTACTTTATTTACGCTCTACGCGAAAAAATATGTCATCGCACACATGGGTAAGAAAATACGGGCGTAACTTTATTTTTGCCATGAGTGCGAGCGAGACAGCATGTGAAAAGCTAACGAAATACTCGCTGTGATTGGCTTAGAAACACTTACGCGCGTATTTTCTACTCGTATGTGTGCGATGACAAATTTTTTCGCGTAGAGCGTACCTTACCTTACTTTCCCTGATCCTATAACTTTACGCGATACGCGATACGCGATACGCTCTACGCTTTACGCAGTTCTATGTGCCCGAGCCCTTACGCTCTCCATGCGACCGGGGCCTTAAGGTGCCATTACATGAAGGTGGATGGACGTCCCTCAATCCTCAAGTTCGGGAAAACGATGCGCGGTGATTTTGATTTGAAATACGAAAAGCATGCCTTGCATGTTGGTATTCATTTTTTTTAAAACATTTCAAATACTAGGAAAAAAATATTGAAGTCTGGAAGCAAATAATTACAACGATTGTAGAGAAGCTGAAAAAAATACGTGCTGCTGTTTAAAATAATTTTTAAAAAAATGATAATATTTTTGTCATATTTTATTCTGGTGAAGAGTTATGTAGTAATTAAAGTAGTACTACATGATCTTTTTTATTAACCAGCCACAGCTTACTCAAATAGATGGAAAATAAACATCTGTCAACTGACAGTTACGTTTGCGGCAAGATTAGAATGCATCTTGTACCCGAAAATCGACTTTTAAAAAAATAGATCCCCGACCAGATCTGATCCATATAGTTAGAGCAATGATGCGTAATTATAGCATCATTAAAACAACCAGATGACACTTTGTAACATTGCAGTAGAAACGATTTCCAACCTTTTGTCCTGTTAAACTAATGCTCCCCATTTCTCGAGAGCCGAGATATAGGGCGATGAAAAAAAAATTTTTTTTGCTTGTTAACCGAATCAAATTACGATTTACAGAAAGGTTGAACCTAACGTGTATTACAAAATTTTTACCAGTGGAAACGTATGAACTGATTTAAAAAATGGAATCATTTGAAAAAAAAATTTTTTAAATAACCCAATTATTATTTTTTTAAATAACTTCGTGTTTTAAATCGGCTAGTAAATTTCGGCTGGCAAAAATTGCGTAATATGCATGAGGTGTAATCTTCCTGTAAACCGTAGTTTGGTTCGGTTAACAAGCAAAAAAAATTTTTTTTCATCACCCCACATCTCGGTTCTCGATGCATGGGGAGCATTAGATAAAATGGACGAAAGGTTGGAAATCGCTTCTACTGCAATGTCACAAAGTGTCATCCGGTTATTTTGCTGATGCTATAATTACGCATCATTACTCTAACTAATGATACTCATGTGACATTCCATGAAATATACTCAATCTTTATTATTTTAAAAAACAGAGTTTTGTTTTTAAATTATAAAAAGCAAAAGCTCAGCGATCTCGAACCATCGAGTGGTATACCTACTTCTGCAATTGCGTGACATATAACTTACTTCTTTTGAAACAAACTACCGTCGCAAAACTCGAACTACGCGTGCAACCTCCAACAATCTTATAAAATGCTCATCTTCCAATATCAATTTGCAGTAGTACATCCAAGAATGTGAATAATCAACAATGACAAATTTCTTTACTGCAGATGTACACAAGAAATATCATACACAATTATTACAGCAACGTGTACTTAATGTAAAACCCGAGAGATCAGCAGTTTTAACCATCACCCTATAAAAAATATCAGAGCTGAAATCAGTTGCTAACTACATCGTTGATTCTGCATTTATTCCATAATGAAACAATGCTGATTCAGTATTAAATTGCTGATGATTCAGTATTGAATCAGCGTTTGTTAGAAACAATAATAGTAATTAACTTCAAAACAGTGCATTTTTCATGTAAGCATTATCGATTTTCGTAATTTTTAAAGTCGTGAAAAAGATTTTCGCAACTTCATACTTCTGTTTTATTATTGTTCCAAATTTTTACTTTCGGCATTTACGTTTTCGTCAATTCTTTAATCAGTTTTATGAATTTTCTAAGCAACTTTTTTCACTATTTTGACTTTCGATGTAAAATTTTTCACAATTATTTGTTTCTAGATGTATTGTTTTCTGATCTTTGGACTACCCTCTTACCGATGAGATGTATTTTTAGCCTCGATCTTTCTCCTCTCATATCATCAAGTGCAGCGATGGCTGTCCATATCAGAAGAAACTTTGGCAAGAGCAAAACCCCCCAGCAATATCAGACTGATGATGGCATCCCCACTTGTTTGACGAAGCAGATCTGCCAAAATAAACAAAAAACAAATCAAATACTAAGTGATAACACTGTCAGAGAACAGATAAAATATGATGAATACAGATACTATGTGTGGCTGTTTGTTTACAGTACCTGTATTTTTTCTCTATAGTTATAGAGAGTATAAGTCTATACATTTTACTTGTAAAATACTTTTTATAGCTTGAGAATCTGAACCGTTGAAAAACTTCTGCTGAGCTTCATAAACCATCCAAAAGTATTAGATTAGGTGACGCAGTGCTCCTCGATCGTTTCACATTACTTCAATTAACTACTTTATTTTATCTACAAATAATTATAAATCCATGATAAATGCAATGGTTAAAAAAAAAAAATTTTCAATTTCACATGCATACATTTACAATTACATCAAACTATTGGACTTTCTCTTCAGTACTCATCGATATAATTGAGGCCGAGTAGGGAACAGTCAACGATTTTATCATTTAACGTTAATATTTTTTGGCAAATAGGCAAATAACTAATAGTCACCTTTTTTTTTTTTAAATTCCACATGTAACCATCACGGAGAGGAAATTTACGGGTTTACCGCATAGAGGGTATCTGGCTGTTAGCGCATACAGCCTCCCCATGCGTCTAAATCGCGAAGCTAATGCGCTGGATGTCAGCCAGTGCTTGTGTTAAAGCCCGTAGAATGTTACATTCTATCAACACATATGAGTAGGGGCTGCGAACCAAGAAAATCCGTAGCTGAAACTCATCGACTATGTCCGAGCTAAAAACGCAAGGAGCGTGATGGGTTTAACGCATGGTGGCTGTTGCGTTTTGGGTATCGGCTGATAGTTAGCGGCGTTGGCACGAGGCACGAGCGCCTATATATGCTGTATATGTATATATACATATAAAAATGTTTTTGGTTAGAAATACCACAACATTAAAAATTATGTGCGAATGCATCATCTTTATATACTCACGTACCAAATTAAATGATTTGCGATGAGATGCATAAACTGTAACACTGTTTGTCACTAATACACAATGCACATCTCGAAATTGCACTTAGTACGTATATTTGTTCATATTTAAACCATAAATATATATATTACGTTAACCGTTTAAAAAAACCTGAAAAGGTTATGAGAATCATATACATAACATGTATACATATACGTATATAGCAGACTCTTGAGCCAACCATCAGCTAATACCCAAAGTTAAACCCATCATGCTCCTTGCGTTTTCAGCTCGGACGTAGTCGATGGGTTTCGGCTACGGCTTTTCTTGGTTCGCAACCGTGTAGGCGTGTACTCATTTGTGTTGATAGCATGAACACTCTACGGGCTTAAACACAAGCACTGGCTGGCATCCAGCGCATCAGCTTCGCGTTTTAGACGCATGGGGAGGCTGCATGCGCAAACAGCCAGATACCCTCAATGTGGTAAACCCGTAAATTTCCTCTCCGTGTGCATAATCCACGATCACGTTCATTCAACCTCCAACTTGTTATACTACCGACTTAAGCAAAATTAAGCGACAATTGCGCCACCACGGTTGGTGAGCCATACACAGCGTTGGGTTGGGCGGATTCAATATCGGAACTTTTTTCCTAGACCGTATATATAGCTATACGATCTACAAAGAATGTTCTGTCGAGCAGACACCACAGTAGTAAAGGGGCATTGCTAAAGACACGCGGAAATTCAAAATTGTAATATTAATAACTCAAGTGCCTCTCACTCAATGACCTGGGGCGCTAACTGGCCACTCTGTTAAAAAAAAATATCTTAAAATTACAAGCTCACCACTCCCAAAGACCTGGGGCGCTTACTGGCAATTCAGTTGAATAAATAATGATTAATAACACAAGCGCCTATCACCTCATGACCCAGGGCGCTTACTTGCCACTCTGTTAAATGAATAATTATTAATAACACAAGCGCCTACCACTAAATGACCCGATTTGCTGAGTGGCAACTTAGTTAAATGAATAATTATTAATAAATAACACAAGCGCCTATCACCT